ATTAAGATATATAATCATATATGCTAATAATAAAAGGACAACAAGTAAACGATGCAGCTTTAGTGGTGAGGAAAGGGAAGGGGGGAGGGGTGGGGGGTAGGGAAAGGAGGGGAAAAAAGACTTGTGATGCAAACAGTACTGGATTGAGATAGATGGTATATATATATGTATACATATATATACAAAGCTGCAGTGTAGACACCGTCGTGAGGCTTGCACTTTCTAGAGTAAACCGGACTCTGTGGGTAAATGGAGAAGAAAGAGAAGTGCGCCAGACTAAGTGCAGTAGAAATATAAAAGTTTATTGCACACAAGATTATAAAAACTCACAAGAAGTGGGTAGATATCAGGCATCAATATATAAGGAGGAGGATGTCATCTGTGCTGCACCTCACAAATGGATGGCTGTAATGCCAAGGTGTTGCACGGCTGGCGCTGTAGGCGGGTCCCACAGGAGGAAGCGAGGATGGCAGGCGCAGTAACCGGGAGTCGCGGCGCAGATAAGAACCGGGATCCAGGGCAGGCACTGCTGATCTCTCACATCAGCGTGGGTACAGGAGCCAGAGGTCTGATGAAAAGGCAGGTTGCCTAGAAACGCTTCACCGCCCCCTTGGAGGATTCCCAGCAACGTCCTGATGTCATTTCCTGCCCGGTGGCCATCTTGGATGTGCCTCAAGCTGGCTCCTGTACCCACGCTGATGTGAGAGATCAGCAGTGCCTGCCCTGGATCCCGGTTCTTATCTGCGCCGCAACTCCCGGTTACTGCGCCTGCCATCCTCGCTTCCTCCTGTGGGACCCGCCTAGAGCGCCAGCCACGCAACACCTTGGCATTACAGCCATCCATTTGTGAGGTGCAGCACAGATGACATCCTCCTCCTTATATATTGATGCCTGATATCTACCCACGTCTTTGTGAGTTTTTTATAATCTTGTGTGCAATAAACTTTTATATTCATACTGCACTTAGTCTGGCGCACTTCTCTTTCTTCTCACTACTTATTGAGACCCTATTTTACCAAGCAAACTATCCCCCTCTTTTCAAACGACTTCGGGAAGATCTTCATCGTTGGGCTGCTTACTCTGTATTTTGGTTTGGAAGGATCAACTCTATTAAAATGACCTTTTTACCTCGACTATTATACATCTTTCGGACCTTACTGATACCAACTCTGAGACGCGAGCTGCGGCTCCTACAGGCAGAGGTGCTTTGTTTTGTGTGGAACAATAGAAGGCATCAGATGAACCAGAAGATATTATACGCTTTAAAGTCGCAGGGTGGGGTTGGTCTTCATTATTATTATACAGGATTTATACGGTGCCAACAGTTTGAGCAACGCTTTACAATATAAGGGAGACAGTACAATTACAATACATTTCAGTACAGAAGGAATGTGAATATTATCTCTATGCTTACTTGCAAGCTGCTCAAATTGTGCAATTGGCCTATACTACAGCTAAGGGATCTACTCCCCTCTGGGTTTTTCTATTGAAGCTCTTTCCTGCCATCCTCTAGCGGTTGGTTCCTTGCCTTGGCTCCCTAATAGATCCCGCCCTCCTATCTTATGTCCTACTCTGTCTTTCTCATTGACAGTTTGGGATAGGTACGCCATCGCAAACCATTAGCCTCCCCACATGCTCCCTTAGCCCCAGTTTTTTGTAACCCTGAATCTGTACCGGGTCTGGTCCCGGCCCAATTCCAATGGTGGATCAACAAAGGGTTGCTGCGGATACATTACCTCCAGGGTGTAAGGGTTTTTATCCTCTTCAGTACTTTACAGAGAAACTACAGATGCCCCCCATGTAAATGTTCAGATATAATAAAGTCGCCTATTTTATCAGCTCAAAAATTGTTTTACTAGATGGAGCGCCCATTCTTACCAGTTTTGAACTTTCCTGTCAGCATACAAATCTCTCTAGAGGCCGTATTTGTGTGGTGTACACCCTTCTTGCTGATCCAAACTGTAAACTCCCCTATATGGATCAATGGGAATGGGACCTGAATGTTAATTATGATCTATCTGATTGGCAAGACATAGCCCTGGAATTATCTAAAGTTTCCATCATTACTACCTGAATTGAAGCAAACTATAAAACTATTGCGATGGTACCGGGTCCCAACTCGGACGGCGAGGACGCATCCTTCTGCCTCACCAATGTGCTTTCAGTGTTGCAGCCAGATGGGTTCTATGTTCCACGTTTGGTGGCAATGTCTGATAGTTACTAGATTTTGGATCTGCATGTTTAACCTTATGTACAGGGTGATGGGGGTTAATGTTCGTAGGGCCCCGGAAACGGCCCTCTTCCATAAATTTCCACTTACAGTACCAAAAAAGACCCTTAACCACTTGCCGACCGCAGATAGCCGAATGACGACTTCACTGCGGCCAGCCAGTTCTGGGAGGGCGTCATATGACGTCCTCCCACGTGCCCCCGGAGGCGCACACTCTGCAATCTCCATGATTGCTGTGTCCTACGGACACAGCTGATCATGTGATGTGGTAAAAAGGCCAATCACAGCTGCCTTTTACCCTTCTGATCAGCTGTGTCCAATGGAACAGCACATCACCGGGAAATGCAGCTGCTGATTATTGGCTGCACTTTCCTCATGCTGTCACAGTGTGAAGAAAGTACTGCCGATAACCGGAAAATTGTCAGAGAAGGGGATCAGCACCGATCATCAGGGCACTGATGATCAGTGACCTGATTGTCAGTGCCCAGCAGTGCCGCCCACCTGTGCCCATCAGTGCCACCCCTGTGCCTATCAGTGCCCACCAGTGCCACCCATCAGTGCCGCCCAGCAGTGCCGCCAGTCAGTGCCATCAGTCAGTGCCACCCATCAATGCCACCTATCAGTGCCCATCAGTGCCACCTATCAGTGCCCAACTTGTTGCATATCAGTGCAGCATCATCAGTGCCGCTTCATCAGTGCTGCCCATCAGTGCTGCCTATAAGTTCAACCTCATCAACAAACATCGAAGGAGAAAAGTTATTATAGAACACAGACAGGAAGTGATGTCAGGTACAGACAGGAAGTGATGTCAGGCACAGACAGGAAGTTATCTGGAATAAAGAAAGGAAGTGCCATACCATAGAAAGCAGAGAGGAGACGTTGATGGACATGGCAGCAGAGGAGGTAATAAGATGTTATTTTCTATTTACACCCAGTAACCCCCATCATGTCCGTCCTCTTCCTCCATAGTCATGTCCGTCCTCTTCCTCCATAGTCATGTCCGTCCTCTTCCTCCATTGTCATGTCTGTCCTCTTCCTCCATAGTCACTGTGACGTCTTTTATCTCCAGCAGATGATGATACACACATATATTGTGTGGGAACCCAGATGAACCCCTTCAGGGGCAGAACATTCCCCCACTTCCGGGGCCGGAACATTCTCCTCATTGTGGAGATAAATTCTAGTAATATGGTCCTCTAAACAAACACAGCACTGACAATAAATAGACAAGACAAGGACCATCCTGACCATACATGGCCTACAAAGGGCAATGATGACACTACACAGGCAGCCAATGGGCAATCATTACACTATGCAGCCAACACAATGATGGAGTGCCGGGGGGTCAGGAGTATGGAGCATAGAGCCCCTTACATTGCTGGTCAAGGAGGAAGAAAACAATCCCCAGCCGGCCATGAAGAATATGTTCCATCATTGGTGTCAGAGGGAGGAAAATACTGAGGGGTCTGAGGGAAGTAGAGGAGTTGAGGGGTCTCTCAGGGGGTACTGAGGATGAAAAACTTTGGGGGCCCCTGAGGGGGTAGTGGAGCTGAAGGGGGAATAGCTGAAGGGGTGGATAGGGTTGGTGGGGAGCAGGGCTCTGAGGAAAGAAAAGTTTGTCAGGCTCAGGGGGACACTGAGGTAGGGAGGGGGCTCTTGGTCTTTGATTGTCGTCTTACCTGCACTTATTTTCCAGACCTCCGTACGGAGCTTCTACCAGGAAAGGAAGACAACCTTCACCTTCTTACCATCTCACTGATCAAATAATGTATTCCAAGACACCAAGTGGAATGAAGAAGGACAATCCTTCACCCCTTGGTGGCACACTTGTTCTTAGAGGAGGTCTGTTGGTGCATTATTAACTAAAAGGTAGTCAGGGGTCAGTGCTATACATCTTCAGGAGACACTCCAATACCTTCCCATGACACAGGCTCTGGCAGTGCCAGATGCTGGAATTCAGAGCCCCAGGAACCCACCACCACTCTGTACAATGTCCTGGATATTACAGTATACTTGGATACTCAAACCCTCCCCCCTGCTGTCCTGTCCTCCTCTACCCACACACACTGTCATTGGAGAACAGAATAGGCTCCTCCCCCTGACAGCTCTCTACTCCACCAGCACCATCCTCCTGCCATCCAACCCAATATCTTCTCTTACTGCAGAGAGTGACAGTGACATCACTCCTGTCAGTCAGCAGGCTGCCACAGATTGGAGCCCTTGCAGCCGGAGTTCTGCCAATTAACCTGTTTAGCTGGCAACTCTGGCCAAAAGTCAGTAAGTTCCCTCTTCCTGGACATCATGATGAGCCGACATTGACCTCACAGCACTGCCTCAGAGCAAACAAGTCACAAGGAAGGATCGAATTTGACCATTTGGAAATTCGGGTCTGCCCAGATCTGAATGCCCCTGGCACTTTTCAAAACCTTTTTTGAGACCAAAACAGGGGCCCCATGATCCCCTAGCCCCGGGGGACCCCATGAGTTGTCAGTCTGCCCCTGGGATCGTATTTCAATTCCTTGTCTGCAGATCTAATACTCATCAAAAACCAGTTCAGAGACCAAAAAACCCAACAGAGAAAATTACTAACAGTACAAAATGTCTTCCCATGGGGGGAAGTAGTTCTTCAATGTCCAGCAACCCTCCTATTCCCCCCCCTCACATCCACATCCTATTATTGTGTGACCAATACCATCCAAATCATTCTTACTTTCATTTCCCAAAGTTATCTGTCTACAAGGAGACCTGTATAGATCACATGATGGCACCAATGAGGATGGAGGAGGACCGGAGTCACATGACTGAGAAGATACTAAACCTCACCCTGGAGATCATCTACCTGCTGACCGGAGAGGTGAGGAGGATTCTGGGAGGTCACATGACATCACTCTCATCTCTATTAATAAAACACAGACCTGACCAGAGAGGTGAGGAGGATTCTGGGAGGTCACATGACATCACTCTTATCTCTATTAATAAAAACACAGACCTGACTGGAGAGGTGAGGAGGATTCTGGGAGGTCACATGACATCACTCTCATCTCTATTAATAAAACACAGACCTGACCGGAGAGGTGAGGAGGATTCTGGGAGGTCACATGACATCACTCTCATCTCTATTAATAAAACACAGACCTGACCGGAGAGGTGAGGAGGATTCTGGGAGGTCACATGACATCACTCTCATCTCTATTAATAAAACACAGACCTGACCAGAGAGGTGAGGAGGATTCTGGGGAGGTCACATGACATCACTCTTATCTCTATTAATAAAACACAGACCTGACCGGAGAGGTGAGGAGGATTCTGGGAGGTCACATGACATCACTCTCATCTCTATTAATAAAACACAGACCTGACCGGAGAGGTGAGGAGGATTCTGGGAGGTCACATGACATCACTCTCATCTCTATTAATAAAACACAGACCTGACCGGAGAGGTGAGGAGGATTCTGGGAGGTCACATGACATCACTCTCATCTCTATTAATAAAACACAGACCTGACCGGAGAGGTGAGGAGGATTCTGGGAGGTCACATGACATCACTGTTATCTCTATTAATAAAACACAGACCTGACCGGAGAGGTGAGGAGGATTCTGGGAGGTCACATGACATCACTCTCATCTCTATTAATAAAACACAGACCTGACCAGAGAGGTGAGGAGGATTCTGGGAGGTCACATGGCATCACTCTTATCTTTATTAATAAAACACAGATTTATATAAAATACAGGATTTATATGGCGCCAACAGTTTGCTCAGCGCTTTACAATATAATGGGAGATTCTGGGAATCACACATGCATCACTCTATCTCAGTTCAATACAAGAGGGATACCGGAGAGGGCCCTGCACCTGGGAGCTTACATGAATCAGAGGGAGGGGCTAGTTAATACAAAAGGTAGTAACTGTGAGGGGATGGAGGATTTGGAAGAGTAGACATTCCATTATTAGCTAAGGGCAGGAGAGGCTTCCCTGAATAGATCGGTTTTCAGAGATCACCTAAAAGTGAAACAGAGTAGGCGATAAAGTCTGATAAATTGGGGTAGAGAGTTCCAGAATTGGAGAAGCTCTAGAGAAGTCCTGGAGACAAGCATGGGAGGAGGAGACAAGGGAGCTAGAGAGCAGGTTGTGCGGGGAGCGAAGAGTACAGTTTGGGTGATATTTGGAGACAAGATTGGTGATGTAATTTGGGGCGGAGTTATAAATGGTTTTTTATATGTTATTGTTAACCAAAATTTTATCCATTGGGCAATGGGAAGCCAGTGGAGGGATTGGCAGAGATCGCTGGAGGACACTCAATCACAGACCAGTGGAGGGATTGGCAGAGGGGGTGGAGGACCACTGAGTGGAGACCAGTGGAGGATTGGCAGAGAGGGGTGGAGGACACTGAGTGGAGGCCAGTGGAGGGATTGGCAGAGAGGGGGTGGAGGACACTGAATGGAGGCCAGTGGAGGGATTGGCAGAGAGGGGTGGAGGACAGTGAATGGGAGGCCAGTGGAGGGATTGGCAGAGAGGGGTGGAGGACACTGAGTGGAGGTCAGTGGAAAGGGATTGGCAGAGAGGGGTGGAGGACACTGAGTGGAGGCCAGTGGAGGGATTGGCAGAGAGGGTGGAGGACACTGAATGGAGGCCAGTGGAGGGACCCATGGCAAAGGGGTGGCAGATGCAGAACGGTTAGTAGGAGGGTGGATGAGTCTGGCAGCAGCATTATTGATAAAACTGAAGAGGGGATAGCCTGTGATGAGGTCGGCCTGGGATGAGGAGGGAGTTACAATAGTCAAGGTGAGATATAACAAGGGAGGGAATAAGTTGCTTAGTGGTTTCCGAGGTTAGGAACGGGCGTATCTTGGAGATGTTGCATGACAGGTGAAGTCTCTACAAGAAAACAGTGACCTGGATTTGGAGGTTGAAAGGACAGATGGGAGTCTGACAGGATTACACCTAGTAACCCTGGCATGAGGGGAGGGACTGATGGTTGAGTTATTGATCTTGATGGAGAAGTCAGGGGAGGGGGCACGGTCTGGAGGGAATACTAAGAACTCAGATTTTGGAAAGATTGAGTTTGAGGGAAGTGGAGTTACATCATCACTCGATCTCTATTAGTAGGTTAGTAAACAAGAGGAGACTGACCGGGGTGAGCTGAAGAGGAGACTGAAGGGGGGGAGGTCACATGACATCACTCTCATCTCTGATGAGGAGGAGACTGAAGACCTGAGGTGAGAGGTGAAAGGAGATTCTGTGGACATCACATGATGGTCACTCTTATCTCATAGTTTATCAAGTGACCAAGGGAGGAGGGAAGGTGGAGAAGAGAAGGGGTCCATGACATCAACCTTGAGGGACCTATTACAGAAAGAGGGAGTGACCGGAGAGGAGGAGCCAGATTATAGGTAACTCTGAAGGAGTGCTTGCGATAGGTCATTAATAGAACCAGGAGAGAGCAGAGTCTCTGAGGCCAAGAGAGAGGAGTTTTTTGAGAGGATGGTCAACAGTATCAAAAGCCGCAGAGAGGTCAATCAATAATAAAATAATACTATATAAATAAGTGGTGACCATTGGTTGTGATTAGTATGGAGTAGTGGCCATTGGTTGGGACACTGCCACCAAGTATGGCCATTGGTTCGTACATGAGTGAGCTCAAGAGGAAAGTAGTGGCCATTGGTTGGGATGAGTACGGAGTAGTGGCCATTGGTTGGGATGAGTACAGAGTAGTGCCATTGGTTGGGATGATTTACAACAGTAGTGGCCATGGTTGGGATGAGCAGGTGGTGACCATTGGTTGGATGAGTACGGAGTAAGTGATACCATTGGTTGGGATTACATGGAGTATTGGCCATTGGTTGGGATTGAGTACGGAGTAGAGGCCATTGGTCGGGGTTAGAGTACGGAGTAGAGGCACATTGGTTGGGATTAGTACAGGAAGGCCATTGGTTTTAGCAGTTAGTAGATCATTAGTGAGGTTTAGGAGGGCATTCTGCAGTGTCATGAGTGTAGAAGAGCGAAAGCCAGACTGTAAAGGGTGAAGAAGGTTGTTGTCGGTGAGGTGGGAGACTCACTCAGGCGATTGTAGATAAAAACGTTCTAGGAGTTTAGAGGTAAATGGAGTCATCCAGGGAATGGGTCTTAAGTAGTTCAGGTTGAAGGACCTGACCAGGGAGGAGGCATTAGGGAGGTATGGAATGTGATGTGCACATGCTTTATAGGGGAGGGAACCGTGACCGACCAGTAGAGAGGGAAAGATTGGATGTCACAGTGATGGGGATCATGGATGGAAGAAGAGGGTAATAAAACACAGACCTGACCGGGACAGGTCCAGGGGGGCAGGTGGTGAGGACACTTCTGAGAAAACCTTCATGACCTCTATTCAGTAAAGCAAGACCTGACCGGAGAGGTGAAGAGGATTCTGGGAGGTCACATGACATCACTCTTATCTCTGTTAATAAAACACAGACCTGACCGGAGAGGTGAGGAGGATTCTGGGAGGTCACATGACATCACTCTCATCTCTATTAATAAAACAAAGACCTGACCGGAGAGGTGAGGAGAATTCTGGAGGTCACATGACGTCACTCTTGTATCTCTATTAATAAAACACAGACCTGACCGGAGAGGTGAGGAGGATTCTGGGAGGTCACATGACATCACTCTCATCTCTATTAATAAAACAACAAGGGATGTGTCTGGATGGTGACTGTGATCATTGTGTGTGTCAGGTTACTATAAGGTGTCAGGGTGTCACTGTCAAATTCTCCATGGAGGAGTGGGAGATATTTAGATGGACACAAGGATCTCTACAAGGACGTCATGATGGAACCAATCAGCCCGCCCCTCACATCACGTGCGGGTTAAGAGGAGACCTTTATTGTAAAGTGGGAGAGAGCAGTCAGACGGAGGATCCCCGCTGATCCCCCATCATCTGATAAACACATAGAAACAATCGATTCAGTCTAGTGTGTGTGTGTTTCCTTACGTGATGGAATCCAGTACATGGGAACCCACCAGTTGAGAGATGTCCCCGTCCTCTGTTATTCCCGGATTCCACACAGGAAGGTCACAACCCTTCATCCCTCAGGCCATCATCAGGTAGATGAGGAACAATCACTGATAGCTTATCATTAGGATCTGTTCATTATCTGCATTTGTTACCATTGATTGTCATTTTTATCTCTATATTCAGTGTGGAATACCTGAGAGATCCTAAAGTATGAGGTTAAAGAAGAGATAAAAGAGGAGGAGGATGAGGATGGGGGGATGGAGGAGTCAGAGCTTCTAAGAGAACACAAAGAAATCTGTACCATGATTTGCGGACACCATGGTGGAGTCATCCAGCTTACAGAAACCCACCAGAGAGATGTCCCCAGTCCTCTGTATTCCGGGATTCCACACAGGAAGGTCACACATCCATCCGTCATTTTTTAAACAAGGTTGGTGGGATTGGAGAATCTAGATCCATGGACTCATAGAGACAACTGTGTGGATTTTTTATGTCAGAGTTTATATTTTACAGATGATATTTTCTTCATTTCCTTGATTTAGAGTGGAGATCCAATCGATATAGAATTTGAGGTGAAAGACAGAAGAAGAAGAGGCGTATGTGAGGGATGATCAGCAGTCTATGGAGGAGGATGGAATAACGGGGACATTTATAGAGGAGGTACCACTCCTACAGAGATCAGCACAGGTAGGGTCATGAACACTAAATCCAATTTCCTCACCCATACTGCTCACTGATTGGTCCGAGTAGGCGGGGACTGGGTGATATCAGCCTGTAATATACCTGGTCACTTTCCTGAGACTTGGTTTGGGGGAACCAATCAGCTCCTGTTAGTAATCCTCTTTGTATTTTAGTCACATGGCCGGGAGATGAGGAAAACACTACCGAGAGGATTGTCTGACTTTGTCCTCCGACTGGAGGAAGTAGAAGATGAGGACATCACACAGTATAGTCCAGGAGTAAAACCCGGCTCCCTCCAATGTCCATCTGCACACACCCAGTGTAGATGGACCATTGGATTCCTTGTATCCTGAGGAAACCTCAGACTAGTGCGGGACTGTTCCGGCTTCCAACAGGGAAGAGCTTCTCCTGTAACTGAGTGCGGAAAATGTTTCCATCATAAATCCCGCTTAATGAGCATAAAAGATCTCACACAGGAGAGAAGGCCGTATTATTCGCTGTCCTAAGTGTGAGAAATGCATTTCAAATAATTCCAATCTTGAAAATACATTCAGGAGGCTTCACACAGGCGAGAAGCCATATTCCTGTCCTGAGTGCGGGGAAAATGTTTTCTCAATGAACGTTCCCATCTTAATAGACATCAGAGGATCTCACACAGGGGAAAAACCATATTCCTGTCTTGAGTGCGGGAAATGTTTTCCCAAGGATAGTCACATCTTTACAAACATCAGAGATCTCACACAGGGGAGAAGCCATATTCCTGTCCTGAGTGTAGGAATGTTTTTCAGACAAGTCCAGTCTTTACAAACATCAGAGAATCTCATACGGGTGAGAAGACCATATTCCTTGTTTCTGAGTGTGGGAAATGTTTTTCAGACACATCAGCCAATCTTTACAGACATCAGAGCTCTCATCAGGACGGGGGGAAATGCCAGTCTTTTGTTCTCTGAGTGCGGGAAATGTTTTTCACAAAAGTCCATATTTTTACAGACATTCAGAGATCGCACACAGGGGAGAAGCCACATTCCTGTCCTGAGTGCGGGAAATGTTTTTCAGACACATCCTAATCTTGCCAGACATCAGAGATCTCACATGGGTGGAGAAGCCACTTTCCTGTCCTGAGTGAGGGGAAATGTTCCTCACTGATTTCCTGTCTTCCTGTACATCAGGGGCCCCACACAACCCTGAGGTGTATTAGTGCCTTGAGTGCGGGAAATGTCTTTTAGATGAATGTTGCTGGACATCCCAGCTCTCATGTGGGGAAGAAGCACACCCTGATATACACCTCAGATATACTCCATGGCTGATCTTCATCATGGAAGAAAAAACAGTTGATAAGGAGATCAGAGGTCCCCATAGACATGGATAAAGTGTGGGACTGGGTTGGCTTTTTTCGTTGAATAAAGTTTGTGGTGTAGAGACTTAGAGGTTTTATTTTTTGAAAAATAAATCAATGAATATGACCAGCACTCACACAGCCATGACCAATATTGTGATTATTTTAGTTCATACAGGGATTTCCTATGATCATTGGCTCCATCTAGTGGCCATAATGTGGTATTGAACTATTTTTCCTGATTGAGGTATTTTGGAAGTAATACATCATTATGGCCACTAGAGGGAGCTGATGATTATAGGAAGTACTGTGTTTAGGATCTGTCAGGGCTGGACACATGCTTGTCACTCTCACCCATCCTTGTTTTTGACCCCTTAGTTTACTATGTCAGGCGTGGTTTTATAGAAATCCCTGAGATCACACTCATGCATGTATGAGCACAGCAGACATTGAAGGACATAAAATAAATAACAGGCTTAAACCAACCAATGATTTAAAACCCAAAATATAGCAAACGACCTTTAGATGGCGATAATTTAATAGCAATTTGCGCCACTTGTTCCTAAAGCAGGGGTCTCCAAAATGCGGCCCGTGGGCCGGATGTGGCCCTTTGCTTTGCTTTTATCTGGCCATTGGGGCTCTTTTCCTTCCATTGATATGAAACACTATTCCTTCCCTTGACACCAATGATTGGACGCTTTTCTTTCCACTGATACCAACGATTGGGATGCTGTTTCTTTCACTGACACCAATGATGGGACGCTATTTCTTTCACTGACACCAATGATGGGGCACTATTCCTCCCGCTGATTCCAATGACGGGGCAATATTCCTCCCACTGACACCAATGATGGGGCACTATTCCTCCCACTGATACCAATGATGGGGCACTATTCCTCCCACTAATACCAATGATGGGGCACTATTCCTCCCACTGACACCATGATGGGACACTATTCCTCCCACTGATACCAATGATGGGGCACTATTCCTCTCACTGACACCAATGATGGGGCACTATTCCTCCCACTGACACCAATGATGGGGCACTATTCCTCCCACTGACACCAATGATGGGGCACTATTCCTCCACTGACACCAATGATGGGGCACTATTCCTCTCACTGATACCAGTGATGAGGCACTATTCCTCCCACTGACACCAATGATGTGGCACTATTCCTCTCACTGACACCAATGATGGGGCACTATTCCTCCAACTGACACCAATGATGGGGCACTATTCCTCCACTGACACCAATGATGTATCACTATTCCTCCCACTGACACCAATGATGGGTCACTATTCCTCCCACTGATACCTGTGATGGGGCACTATTCATCCCAATGACACCAGCGACAGGGCACTGTTCTCCCACTGATACCAGAAATGGGGAACTAATTATCCCACTGACACCAATGATGGGGCACTGTTCTTCCCATTGAAACCAGCGATGGGTCACTGTTCCTTCCACTGATACCTGTGATAGGGCACTGTTCCTCCCACTGACACCAGCAACAGGGCACTGTTCCTCCCACTGACACCAGCAACAGGGCACTGTTCCTCCCATTGACACCAGTGATGGATCACTGTTCCTTCACTGACACCAGTGATGGGGCACTGTTCCTCCCACTGATACCAGAAATGAGGAACTAATTATCCCACTGACAACAATGATGGGGCACTGTTCCTCCCACTGACATCAATGATTGGGTACTATTCCTCCCACTGATTCCAACAACGGGGCACTGTTCCTCCCACTGACACCTGCAATGGGGCACTATTCCTCCCACTGACACCTGCGATAGGGCACTGTTCCTCCCACTGACATCTGCAATGGGGCACTGATCCTCCCAATGACACCTGCAATGGGGCACTGCTCCTTCCACTGACACCAGTGACGGGGCACTGTTCCTTCCTCTGACACCTGCAATGGGGCACTGTTTACTCCCATTGACACCAGCAACGGGGCACTGTTCTCCCACTGATACCTGTGATGGGGCACTGCTTCTCCCACTGACACCAACATCAGGGCACTCTTCCTCCCAATGACACCAGCAATAGGTTACTGTTCCTTCCACTGACACCAGTGATGGGGCACTGTTCCTCCCACTGATACCAGAAATGGGGGGGAACTTTTTTATCCCACTGACACCAATGATGGGGGTCGTGTTCCTCCCACTGAAACCTGCGATGGGGCCTTGTTCCTCCCACTGAAACCTGCGATGGGGCCTTGTTCCTCCCACTGACACCAGCGACAGGGCACTGTTCCTCCCATTGACACCAGTGATGGGCCACTGTTCCTCCTACTGACACCAGCATTACGGCACTGTTCCTTCCACTGACACCAGTGATGGGGCACTGTTCCCTCACTGATACCAGAAATGGGGATACTAATTATCCCATTGACACCAATGATGGGGTCCTGTTCCTCCCACTGACACCTACGATGGGGCCCTGTTCCTCCCACTGAGAACAGCAACGGAGCACTGTTGCTACCATTGACACAAGTGATGGGTCACTGACACCAGCGATGCAGCACTGTTCCACTGACACCTGTGATGGGGCACTGTTCCTGCAACTAATACCAGAAATGGGTAACTTATTATCCCACTGACACCAGAGATGGGGCACTGTTCCTCCCACTGATACCAGAAATGGGGAGCTAATTATCCCACTGACACCAATGATGGGGCACTGTTCTTCCCACTGACCACCAAGTTGAGGGTATTGTTTACTCCCACTCAGGACATTTTCCACTGGCCACAATCTGGCCCCCCTAAAGATTGAAGGGCAATAAACTGGCCCTTTGTTTGAAACTTTGGAGACCTCTGGTCTAAAGTCTACATTTTACATTTTAAATAATTGGAAAAATATTCAGCCAGCACAGCAAATATAACAAATTACCTGGTCCTGGAAGATTGGGTCACCTCCCCAAAACAGAACCATGTGAGAAACAACAGATCCAGGGAAAGCGACCAGGGGAAAGAAATGCGGCCCCAAAACAGAACCATGTGAGAAACAACAGATCCAGGGAAAGAAATGCGGCCCCAAAACAGAACCATGTGAGAAACAGATCCAGGGAAAGCGACCAGGAAAAGAAATGTGGCCCCAAAACAGAACCATGTGACAAACAAAAGATCCAGGGAAAGCGACCAGGGAAAGAAATGTGGCCCCAAAACAGAAACCATGTGAGAAACAACAGATCCAGGGAAAGCAACCAGGGAAAGAAATGTGGCCCCAAAAACAGAACCATGTGAGAAACAACAGATCCAGGGAAAGCAACCAGGGAAAGAAATGTGGCCCCAAAACAGAACCATGTGAGAAACAACAGATCCATGGAAAGCAACCAGGAAAGAAATGTGGCCCCAAAACAGAACCATGTGAGAAACAACAGATCCAGGGAAAGCAACCAGGGAAAGAAATGTGGCCCCAAAACAGAACCATGTGAGAAACAACATATCCAGGGAAAGCAACCAGGGAAAGAAATGTGGCCCCAAAACAGAACCATGTGAGAAACAACAGATCCAGGGAAAGCAACCAGGGAAAGAAATGTGGCCCCAAAACAGAACCATGTGAGAAACAACAGATCCAGGGAAAGCAACCAGGGAAAGAAATGTGGCCCCAAAACAGAACCATGTGAGAAACAACAGATCCAGGGAAAGCAACCAGGAAAGAAATGTGGCCCCAAAACAGAACCATGTGAGAAACAACAGATCCAGGGAAAGCAACCAGGGAAAGAAATGTGGCCCCAAAACAGAACCATGTGAGAAACAACAGATCCAGGGAAAGCAACCAGGAAAGAAATGTGGCCCCAAAACAGAACCATGTGACAAACAAAAGATCCAGGGAAAGCAACCAGGGAAAGAAATGTGGCCCCAAAACAGAACCATGTGAGAAACAACAGATCCAGGGAAAGCAAACCAGGGAAAGAAAATGTGGCCCCAAAACAGAACCATGTGAGAAACAACAGATCCAGGGAAAGCAACCAGGGAAAGAAATGTGGCCCCAAAACAGAACCATGTGAGAAACAACAGATCCAGGGAAAGCAACCAGGAAAGAAATGTGGCCCCAAAACAGAACCATGTGAGAAACAACAGATCCAGGGAAAACAATCAGTGAAAGAAAATGTGGCCCCAAAACAGAACCATGTGAAAAACAACAGATTCCAGGGAAAACAGCCAGGGAAAGAAATGTGGCCCCAAAACAGAACCATGTGAAAAACAACAGATCCAGGGAAAACAACCAGGGAAAGAAATGTGGACCCAAAACAGAACCATGTGAAAAACAACAGATCCAGGGAAAAAAAAAAAAAAAAACAACCAGGGAAAGACACGCAGACAGGCACAATACAACCCATCCAAATACAGAAGGAAATGTAACCTGGCGAGGGAGGATGGAGACCTGGATGGAGCATCATAGGGTGGTCACCATCTATACAGGAGGTAGTTATGCAGCTGACCTTTATCATGTCCTAGTACAGACATACAATGGTGATCCCTCCGAGACGGCATAGAGATCTAGAAGATACAAGTATAAGGCCAGACCAGCACAGGATGCAGAGCTTTTTGCAGGTTAATGGAACATGACTATAACAGTTGTGGGACTGCAGGTGGTTACTTTCCTAATTCAGTCGCTGGTGAGATGTTTATGGATATATGGAAGTTGCTTATTGTAGCAGAAAGACATTGAGAGATGTATAGCTTCTGATGTGGAGAGGCGGAGTCAATGAAAGCGTTCCACCTGGAGGTGAAGCGTGGTTCTGAGATATGGTGGAAGAGTTGAGAGTCCAACTTCTCCCTGTAAAGTAGGGTTCTTAGTTTTCTTTTGACATCTGTTATG